GATGACTTTTCACAAAGTGAAACTACCCAAATGAGGAAATGGGAATATTATCTGCCCCCAGAAGCTTTCTGACCCTCCCTTCCAGTCATTAGTTTCTCCCCACATGTAAAGACTACCCTGACTTCTACCTTATTGGGTTTCTGGCCTGTTTCGAATTTTCATATAAATGAAATCAAACTGTATGTACTCTGTTTAGACTGGTTTCTTCTGCTTAACATCATGTTAATAAAGATCACCATGTTATTGCATATAGTAGTATTTTGTCATTTTCATGGCTGTTAAATATTCCTTTATGTGAATATACCACAATTTTTATTAATTCTATTTATTGATGGACATTTGAACTACTTCCTACTTGTACCATTACAAACAATGCCACTATTAAATGTTGCTGTTTCTGTCATTTAACATATACCTAAAATGGAACTGCTAAGTCCTAGTACATGCTGCAGCTTTAGTAAATACTGTGAAATAGTGTGCCAAAGTAGTCTCACAAATGTACAAACCCATAAGCAGTGTATGAGAGAGAGTTCAAGTTGCTAAGTATCCTCACTAACATTTGGTTTGGGCACTTCCGTGTAGCCTGTTGTGGTAGGTGTACCTGGAATCTACTGCATTTTAATTTGCATTTCTCAGATGATTGACGAGGCCCCTTTTCCTTAGTAGCCATTTGGATATCTTCTTTTATGAAATGCCTGTTTAAGTCTTTGCCCATTTTTCAAAAATTAGGCTGCCTGTCTTTTTATTGATTTGTAGCAACTATTTATATATTCAGGATGGAAGTCTTTTATTGGATATGTATATTTAAAATATTCTTTGCCAGTATGCAACTTGCTTTTTGATATTTTTGATAAATAAAAATTCTTAAACTTTAAACTAGTTTAAATATCAATCTTTTCCTCTACTGGGGTCTTTTTTAAGAACACTTCAGTTATTCCAAGGTCTGTTACCTTCCAGAATCATTAAATTAATTGAATTAGGCATATTTATCACTCTTAATTCATACCTTATGTTTTCCAAAGTTGGTCATGAGGGATCGTCCATGTGATTTCTTCCCACTTTCCTTTACATCTGGATTCTGAGTAAATAAAGGCATAATAAAACTATTTTTCTTCTTCACTTTTGTTTTTTCCTTAGTTCTGGTGTGGAACGGCGGGGAACCCTCTCTCCTGTGTGCCTCTAGGTGGGAAGCAAGCAGGCCCTGCTCATTTCCTCCTGCTCCGCCCCACCACTACCTCAAAGATGGCTGGGTCTGCCTTGAGAGAGAAGGAATCATTGGCATGGAGAGGCCTGGGCACCAGCCGGGATGCAGCAGCCACCCACAGTTCCCCAAAGCTGGGGCTGAGGGCCCTCAGCAATGCCCAGCTGTGCCGGCCCTCATGGGGCTCATTCACTAGGCTCTGCGCAACACGGGACACATTCTTTTGAATGCCCTGAGAGTGGATAAATCATTTCCAGCTAACAGGAGATTTAATTTTAGAAAATGACCAAAAGTCATTAAGAGTCAATTCTGTTGAATAAGGAAAGTGATTGCACTGATGGAACATTGCTACTAGGGATTTTAAAACATTAAAAATAAATAAAATCCAAGCATAGTTAGAGGTAGCAACATTGCTTTTGTTTAAAGTAAACCACAGTAAAGCTTATCTGTTCACTGAAATAATCCCCTCCACGGTGAGCACGGGTTGGGGGCTGTAGCCTCTGTATTTTTCCTCACGTGGGTTAATTTTCCTTCATGTGGGTTAACTCTCCTTGCTCAAGCCCCTGTCTCATTAGGGGACTGAAACCTAATAATAGGGGTTAGACTCTCAATCAATTGTTATCCCTAAAAACACGTTAGGTGGTTCACTGCTAACGACATGGTATGAAGGGACCAGCTAGATCGAAGCTCTTGGTCTGATGAGTTTACTTAGATCG